TTTTCGTATTTATTTTATTTGTTCGTTCTTGTACTTGAATTTGGTGGCTATAACAAGTTAAAACTGAGTCTCTGTGGATACGACCCGACTTACCGCTATTACAATTTTGGTTGTAAATTAGCTTGTAGTTGGAACTTATTATTTGGTGGACTCGGCATCCGTCAGTTATGGTACTGGGGACTTGGTTAATTGAAAGTAGTTCTCTTCGTTTTTTCTATCTCTGTTAATCAGCATCACTATACTTGGCAGAACCTCCTGTTCAGCTCAGCAAAATACCCTTTTGTATATCATAGATTCTAATGTGCATCTTCCATTTGAATCATGTTTTCTTGGTTTGTATGCACAGATGATGTGTGAAATATAGCTTATGAAACTAGATAAAATAGGAATTGATGAAAAACTTAGTTATGAAACTTAATTAATTGAAGTACTTATTAGGGCTGTAGTAGTAGTAGGACCAATGTTACTAGAATGCATTTCGTAGTGAAAAAACACTAAACAGCTCACTGGGAGGTAAATTGGTCATTTTAACCAGTTCTATCCTGTCTTACCAAACACTGAACAACTATCCTGTCCAGTCCTGTCTGCGCACCAAACGCACCCTTACCGAATAAACTGTTGTTTATAATGTTTCTGATAAATAAAATCTTACCTGACAAGTAAATAATAGTGTTGAATTTTAACGATAAATACTTATAAGTATTAGGTAAACAGCCCCTTAGCATATCCATTCAAAATTTAAGTTTCTTAGCACTACAAACAACTTCCAAAGAGACCATTGCACACCAAGAAATTTAAGTCTGTATTMTGTTACACAAATAAACTACCAAAACAACAAGCAAAATAACCTAAACCAACACACGAGAACGAGATTCCCGATATCTATGATGCAGACTTTTGCTTCTTCGGCACACGATAGGCACCAACAACACAAGCATGGTCTCGCTCAAAGGGTTCCAAAGTCACCTGCTCCATTGGTTTGAACTGCTCGGCCTGAAGCTTTTTYACTTCAGAAGCAAATACAGCCTCAGCAGGAACAGTCGAGTCTATGCAGTTAGCCTTCACCAATTCCACACAAAACAATCAATTCAACAAGATAGAGAATATATACACATCAAGAACCAAAACATCGGTATTTATTTGATACAACCAACAAAAAGGATGATGAAAGAAGACCAACCTTGATAGAAATAACAAAATAGCCACCAGATTTCAAGAAATAGGATGCATTGAGTGCTAAAATTCTTGCCTGCAGGAGTCAAAAGATGGGAATATAACTTTTAAGTGATATGAAATTTGAATAGACCATAATGAATCATACATTAAAGAATAACTGCATACGAATAATTTGTTGTTACCGACTAAGAAGCTTATGCAACTTCAAAGCAAGAAAGGAGCAAGCTCAATATTAAAAGTTGTTAAATATTAGCATCAGAAACTCGATTTTTGCATCACCCATGACGTCGTGAAGGGGAATCCGAGTAAACTCATCATGTACTTGGAAGTGATAGTCCTACTCAAATTACTTTCAAATACTAACCACAAGAAATAGAACAGTAGGCAGTATAAATATGATCTCTGAATGAATTTTCAAGTAAAACATAAGACAAAAAAATACTCATAAACAGCACAAAACAACAAAAACAACCAAAGTGGATTGATACATCAGAAACTCGGTTTTGCATCATCCAAGATGTCCTGAAGGGGAATCCGAGTAGTTCATCATATGCAACATTGGATGTCAAACCAAAAGAAACAAGAGAAAGAAAGCTAATACCCTGATTTGTGAGGAAAACAATAAGAAAGATGTAATAAACGTTCAAATGTTAAAAAGGTAAAAAACCTTCTAATGCAATAGACAAGAGAAAAAACTAAAAACCCAAGTTGGCAAAGAGACACTGAACCTTGTAATGTTAATAATACAAAAATAACAAAGCAAGAAATTTTTAGAATTAAAAATACTCAAAGTTGAAACCTTTGTAGAAGACATTTAAAAAATTGAACTCAACCAGGTTCAAAGATCAAATCTTTGTAAAAGACAAAAATAAAGATGATAATATTAAAGAAAATAAGGATGACAAATAAGAAGATTAAACTCAGCCATGTGATGCTTGAATGAAAATGCAAGTAAATAAACCAAAATCCAATCATCAAGAAGCCCTTAATAAGTACAAAACAAACCTGATCAGGTTGGGCAACATCAGAAAATATGACATCAACCATACCAACAAGCATCCTGTACTTGGCTGGATGTCTAGCATCTTCAATAATTGGGATAACATTTGTACGCTTCTTAGCCATGTTAACCAAATCTCTACCACTTCTGTGAGAAAATTCCACAGCATACACAACTCCAGCCTAACAAAGTAAAATGAACAAGTAAGTAACGACATAATGGTGGCTGTGGTTATAAGAAACAAATCATAATCTAAAGAAAACTACTTACTGGGCCGACAAGATCGGAGACATGAGAGACAGTTGTGCCAGATGCAGCTCCTAAGTAAAGCACCTTCGAGCCAGGTTTCTGATAAAGAAAAAACACAATATGAGTACGATGATAGTTTTATTTCTTCATCAAAGAAACGGGTTATGAAGTAAAATTACCATCCAAATATTATCAACTCCTCCAAGAACAGCAGCAGCCAGTTTTGATCTAAAGGGGTTCCAAACGCGATATTCAACCTTTGTCCCATCTTCATTCTGATGACAAGAAATTATAATAAATACCAAGAACTCCAGAGAATATATGTGTAAAATACAATTTAAAAGCTAAGAAAATATACATTATACGGATTGTGCATTAGGGATTAATTAGAAGCTAATGACAAATGAATTCGAGTCTTGGTACAATAATTAGAAATGAAAATTGACAGATGCAAATATTGAAACGAGATAATGATTTGGATTTAAACAAATGAAACATCAAAAGAATTAATCAACAAGTATGGTAGCTCTTCAATTGAAACTGTAGAGAAAGAACTCGTGCATTTACCAATTAACTGAAACGAATAATTTAATCTTCATCAATGGTCGATGGTAATATACCTGAACAGAGATCCTCTTCTCATTGTATACAGCTTCTCCAGGCACCATATTCTTTGTACAAAGAGCATCTTCCTTGCCCTTAGCAATAAACACGCCTTCATGTCTATGTGGCTCAACTACAACCTTACTCCCTCCCTTCATCCCACCACCTCTACCACCACGACCTCTGCCGCCACCTCGACCACCACCTCTTCCACCACCACGTCCTCTCCCACTGTCACCACCGGCACTTCTTCCACCGAATCCACCTCTCCCTCCGCTAAATCCTCCTCTTCCCCTTCCTCCTCTACCGCTTCCATCTCCACGACCGCCACTGAAACCTCCACCACCACGTCCTGTAAATTCAACAAATTGTATATTGCAAATGCATTAATCAATGAACAACAGAAACTAAATTGAAAAGAACGAAATAGATGGAGAAGTCAATTACCTCCTCTGATTGGAGCTCTCATACTTCCAAATTGGAAAGGGATTTGGTTAAGCGAAATTTTCTAGGGTTTATGTGGAAGATGAAGAATGCGGAGCGGCGAATTGGGGGTTTTATAAGGCCAGGGTTTAGGGTTTTTGTTACTCCCGAACGTCGATGAGTTCTTAATTTGTTTTTGTTAGTTTGCTAAATTGGGCTCTATACGGCCCAAATCTTGTCATATAAAGCCCAGTTAATCATCGTTGTTGGAAAAAAATAACAATTTATAAAGCTATATCCATACTATATTATAAAGCATTTGACACAAAAAATTAAAAACCATTTTTTATTTATGAAGTACTGTTTATTAATGCATATTACTTAAAATTCAAAATTACAAGTAAACTGAGCGTAAGTACAACTTATTAAAGCTTCATGTTTGAATTCGTGTAACTAACTGCAGATAAACATAATCAAATAGACGATAAACATCTCATTTTAAATATAAAAAATCTAAAATATAATTAGGATAATNAAAATACTTAATTATTATTTTTATAAAAAATTATATTATTTTAAACCAAAAAAAAAAAAAATGAATTGAAGAAATATACAAAAAAAAAAAATTTAAATAGTTAGTTTGTACTAATATCAGTATTTTTTTTCAATTTTTTATGATATCTTCATATTTATATTTTATTCAAAAATAAAAACGTTATCGTTTTATCAAAACCACGTAAAATTGTATTATAACATCGACTAAGACAAAAATAAATAAGACTAAACATTAAAATCGAGATGTATATCGCTGCATTGTACGAGCACCCTTCTAGTATGACAAAATAATTAAGGGATTGTTGGGTTAAAAATGGAAATGACAGTTTAAATTGTAATGAAAATTTAGGTTTATAGGGAAATTGGCAAATTAAGTTGTATAAAACCAAACAAGTTCTTTTATTTTCAAGCTCATTAAACAACTGCTCGATATCTTTAACCAAACATTCTTTGAAAATGGGATCTCATTTCCATTTTTTTTTATTAACCTGGATATTCAACCCGTTATGCGAGGCGACTAATCTCATGGCGACCACCTGCTTTATAGATAGCTCGGATTCATCGCATTTGAACCTCTGTGGTCACAAGATGATTTTTATTTCTCCTTGGATTTGAACCTAGGACCTCGTGGTACTTTTGATCTTTGGAGTTAAACTCAAATCAATCAGACATCACTCTTGTGTTTAATTCGATATATAAATTGGGAAAGAAAAAAAGAAATGATATCTTTTAACGTAATTGAGAAAAATATATGTCAACGATTGAACAATTTTTATACAGCAAATACCCAAACAATGGTTTAATACTTGTATTTTTTTTGGTGGGTTGGCAAGCCTTACAATGGAGCTACATGTGTTGTTAATTGATGATCAAATATCATACAATGATTGTTGATAATTTTCGATCTTCATTGACATGTTAATTTTGTGTACTTCAGACTTCGATTTGAATTGAATATTATTTTACTGGCTCATGGTGTTTCTAGTTTGTTTATCGGTTTTCTATATGTTGTTTGCATACGTATGTCGTATCTATTGTACTCTGTGTGATTGTTTTCGCTTAATAAGTCAATAAACGGATGAGAACACATCATTACCTCATATCAGCCTCATCAAGAGGTCAATCCATGTGTTTTACCCTTGATTATCCTGTCATGTGTCATTTCCAACCAATCGTTAACCATATTGACATACAACATCCCAATTAACACGCATTGGTATATATATAGTGCATGATTCTAATGATCATATGTGAACTTAATGCATGCATACTGGTCCCATGTGATCTGGATAATACAACCCCTCGTAAAAACCTATTTTTATTGTTATCCCATGATCCCGATTAAAAAACAATCCCATATGTGATGTCAAAAAACCTCCAGATAACTCCCATAAATATGTGAAAATAAGAATGCGTGAAATGCCCAAAAACTTGTTTAGTGTCATGGTATTGTGTTCAAGAAAGTGATACGAAACAATGAACGGCTGAAACCGAAAAACAAAAAGTTACAGGTGTATGTATATCAAGAAAATGCAACGTAATAGAAAAGCTTTATGAAAATTTGGTACGACCCCACCGTACGATAAACTTGAACAACCTTAATTTGGAAAACCTTTTGCATCGGGACTCTTTGAGTTGTATCGTATAAATACTCTCTGGGTTTTAGACTATGGATATCACAGACCAGAGAGGGAGAGAAAAACATCGAAAAATTCAACATTAACTTTGAGAGTTTGCACTACAAATTGTTATTTGATTTGTAACATTTAATTTGTTTTTCAGTTTCTTTTTGGTTAATAAATATTATCGTTCGGTGTGTAGACGCATATGATCTTCTCGATGGTGGAACCACAATAATTTTTTTAGGTATTTACGTTTGCTTTCATTATTCGTTCATCATGAACTTTGTTTCTCATGTTTGTTTTCGATTATTCAGTCTGAATTTTTCCATATTCATTGTTAGTAAAAGTCGGACCTTTGTTATTATTTTCAATTTGGGTGACTTTTAAATCGTTCGACTAGTTTCATTTTTCACTTAATTATGACCTTTTACTTTATAGATTCTAGGTATAACCAAATTTAGTTTGAAGAACGGATGTGTAACCCTAACCCAAAAAACGCGAGCACAGTTAACCGGGGAGAAATGTGGATTTAGAGTGTGAATCAATGCCTAGAAAATCAACATCAACAACGTGATCAAGAGAGAGAGGCGTTTTCAGTGGCATGAGATAAGAAGTTATCTTGAGAATTCAATGACGTGGGAAGTCTAGCAATACATTTTGTGGCAAGTTTGTGGCTTTGAAGTTTGGACATAAAAAGGGAAAGACTTGTAACTCTTAGGGTGCGTTTGGTACGTGGAACAAGGTGGGACAGGACAAGACACACTTGTCCTATGTTTGGTGTGGCTTTATGTGGGACTAAGTAGAACTAACTAGAACAAGGGTGGGACACGGTAGTCCACCCTTTACTCCTGGAACTAAGTAGAACAAGAAAATTTTTACAACTTTACCCTCAAAAACCTCATACGCATATTGTCCCTTCTTCCCTCAAAAACCTCATACGCTTCCACCGTCTCTCCTCTCCTCCATCGCTTCCACCTCATACGCTGTTTCTACTCAACCGGCGACCGGTGACGGCGACGACAGTTTGACGATTTCCTTTCCATCGCACCCTACCTTCTCGGCGATGGCAGTCCGACAGCCCTATCTCGACGAGTTCCTTTCCATCGCACCCTACCTTCTCCTTCATCAGGTACACGATTGCCCTCTGTTTGCTATGTTTGGAACGATTTAGGGTTTGTTATATTTTTATCGCTATTTGGGGTTGCTATGTTTGAATCAATTTAGGGCTTTTTTTACTTGAATCGACTGTTGCTATTTTGATATTTGAAGAATGGAAGTTGCTTACACTCGGGTTTAGAATCTGATGTCGTCTTTGGGTTTAGAAGTATGGTAGATTAATTTGATCATGGTGGTTAGAATTCTAGGATTGACTCACCGGGGGTAAATTGATCATTTTAACCAGTTCTGTCCAGTCCTATAATGTCTTACCAAACGCTGAACAGCTGTCCTGTCCTGTCCTGTCCTATTCTGTCCCGTTCTGTCCTGTCCCGTCCGGTCCTGTCTGCTTACCAAACGCACCCTTAGGGTTTGTTTGGCTCATGTTGAGGAATGAAAATGAAAATGACAGAGAATGAAAATGAAAATGCAGATTTAATCTTCATTCCCCCGAGTTAAACCATGAAAGAAATTTTGGGCTTTATGGAGGAATGAGTTCATTATATTATAGAAAATCAAACATTTTTATTTTTATTTTTATTTTTATTCTCATTGATTACTGCTTAATACCTCTAAACAAACACCCCCTTAATTTTTCAAGAAAACTGTAAGTGCCTCTTTATAATAGTAGAAGAGAACTCGCGCAATGCAGCGAGACACATCTCGATTTTAATGTTCTATTTTATTATTTGTCTCTGTCGATGTTATAATACGATTTTATGTGTTTTTAATAAAATAATAATGATTTTTTTTAATAAAATATAAATTTGAAGATATCATAAAAATTTGAAAAATAATATATCAATGTTAATATCAAATCCACTATTTAAAAGTTTTAATTTTTTTTGTAATTTCTTTAATTTATTTTCTTATTATGATTTAATTTAAGTTTAATAACGAAATAATTTATTTTTTGTTTAATAATATAATTTTTTATAAGGATAATAATTAAACATTCTGTTATAACTTAATGATTATCTTAATTATATTTTAGATTTTTTATATTTAAAATGATGTTTATCATGTATTTGATTATGTTTATCCGTAGTTAGTTACACAAATTCAAACATGAAGCTTTAGTAAGATGTACTCATGCATATCCTATTTGTAATCTTAAATTTCAAGTAATATGAATCAATAAACAGTACTTTATGCATAAAAAATCATTTTTAAGAGTTTTAGTCAAGTGCTTTATAATAGATAGTATTAGATATAGATTTCAACATATCCGTTCAAGACATTTTACAATAGAGTATAGATTCGTACGTATTTATGATATTTTATAATATTATAAAATCCAGAAATATTCATAATGAGCTTATTTTGAAAGTATTGACACGAATATTATAATGGTATAATTTATAATAAAAAAACACAATTTTAATATATTTTAGTTAATATATGATTTTTTTTTATATGCCTAAAGATATAAAACAAATCAATTCGTAGGTATAAATAATATTTAATAGTATGATTAAATTAAAAAATATTAAATAATTACCTCATTTTGAATGATATTGACGAGACGATTATAATGATATAATTTGTAAAAAAGAAACGCATCTTTTAAAATATTTTTGTTTATGATTAATTATGTTAATATGATAAGAGTGAAAAATAAAAAAGTAAGGAATATAAAGTAAATTAAAATAACTAATTAGAAGTATATAAATGTAGTTTAAAATTTGAAAATGGTTCGATATTTAATATCATCCTAAGATCATGGGAGGTTGTATAACTTTAATTTGTACGTTAAGTTTATAAAATGATACATTTTAAAATTTTAAGAATAAG